CAGGTTTGAAAAATCGTAAAAAATAGTAAAGTAGGCCTAGGCCTACCAAAAATTACCCAATTTTTGGGTAAAACAAATTAAATATATAATAAACTAACCTAACCTAACCTAACCCAACCCAACCTAACCCATGCTTAGGTTAACAATGTGCCAAAATGACCGTTTTTTGGTAAGTTAAACCCTGGTTATGCTAGGTTAGGTTAGTATTAAGTTATTGACACGTAGTAAAAAGAAGTTGGGTACCTACTTAACTTATAATAGGCCTACCGATTATTAGTAAACCTTCATTCGATGTTTTCACTATCAGCAAGTTTGGTTGGTTAGGTTAGGTTATGATAGTTTATTTTTATTACTGATATAGCTGGTAAATATATCAATTATTAAACAATATTTTTAATTTTATAGTTTCAATAGATAGGCCTATTAGCATAAGTTAGTCCAGTTAATAAATTGTACCCAAAAAGTTTTACATGCGTCTAAAATCATTGATTTCTAGCATTTTTCTTGATTTTCAAACACGATTTTCAAGTTCAATATAACATAAGTAGTTTAAGTTCAGTTTTACCATTATTAGTATACACATATATTATAGAACTTTTTACAACATAAACTAACACTGTACGGTTTTCAATTTTTTCGGTTCTCCGTTTGTCATTATATTTCGCCCCAAAAACTTATAAAAAAAAATATTTTCCTAACATGTTATATATTTCTATGTAGGGAATTAGATTGTCTACAAAATGTATATAATGAATTTCCCATAAAAAAATCCGTAGAAAAAAAAGCAGAGGCCGCTTTTGAAATTTCAAAAAAAAAATTCATTTTTTTTATTTTTTTCACTTTACCGATAAAATACACTGTCTAAATCATTATGATATTACTATTTCTATTCTTATGATTCTCCTGTTCTTTCCGAACAAAATGAATATGAGGTTGGCTAGGTTTACTTGTACGGTTGAATTTTTAAGAATTTTCAAAAAATGGTCTGCAAAATCGCCAAAATGGGTTGGCCATTCCCCACTTCTAACATTGGCCACTGCTAGGGTTAACTTATGTTCAAATTTGTGTTATATTGAAATAACTTGGTAGCCTACTTAGTGGTTGTTTACAGGTTAGGCCTAAAGCCTTGGCCTACACTTTGGCATTTAGCCTACAATCCGTATGCGAGTACGGTAACTTAACTTAAAAGGTTTGTAATTAAAAAAAAACAATCAAAATAGGCCTAACATCGGCCTAGGTAGCCTTGAACTGCTAGCCCAAGGGCATGACCAAAATGCAACTGCTCATTAGCCTACAATTTTTTGCAATCCACATTCACGTCATGCCTTCACGTAGGCTTAGACAACCGCAAATAATTTGAACCTAGGGCTAAATAACTCTATTCATAAAGGAAAACTGTGGCTCGATTTGTGTTCAATAAAGGAGGCTAGCATGATGCACACATAACCTGCGTTACGTCAAGCCTACATCGACGGCCAACTGGCCATTTTATAAATTTTAACACAGTGCGAGTGTTATGAATTCAACAACATCATCCTTTTGAAATAAGAAAATAATTATCCATAAATTGTTATATGTACTAGACCTTATTTAAATAAATAATTTCTAAGATACTCACCTACGAAGATAACCTATGCTGCATATAAATCTACAGCCGGAAAGAGTAAGAATAACTCATAAGTGGAGTTGGAGAATTGGAGATGAAAGCAGAATCGAAAAATATCATGGAGGAAAAATAATTCTATGTCATAGATTATGAAGGAGGATAGTTGTACTGCATATTGAAAATGTTTATGTAACACTTGATTTAGTTTCTCTTCTCTTTATTTCGATTATTTTGCCAAAGATAAAGCATACCTCCTTTTTTACTAACTTCAAAACCATCACGCAATAAAATAAGTATTTTTGAAACGTCATTGCTAAAATAATCTAGAGAAAAATTACTTAAATGCTTATTACTTGGATACTTGGAGAATTCCTACTGGTATCGCATCAGCGACGTGGTCGTCAGGTTTTTATACTTTTCTTGCTATTAATTTATACCATAGATAAAACGGATTCATTTCCTCTTCAGGGATGCACATGGCCGACATATTTCATATTTCATCAACATATGTTTTAAGCAGGTTCTTGAAATTGTTGATAGAAGGCTCTTGCTGATGAACTGAGACAATTTATTTTAAATTTTTATATTGAAGTAAGGGCTCTTGCTTGCAAGGGTAGAATTTACTTGAGGTACATGTGGATTTGTTGCTCTTCTTGTATTGTAATTGTGGACCATGTTAGTTACAAAAATATTAGGATTATTCTTAACGAGCAATGCGGATTCCAATATAAAGACAGACGGAAGTGTGAGAATGTTCAATTCTTGGAACAGAGGTTTAGTGTGTCCGGCTATGGATTCCACATATTCTTCTAATAGCACGTTTTCAAAGGATGAAGATGCGTTTTGCCTCACTAACCACCCCAAAATACCAAACCATATGAAATTATGCTATTAAAGCAGCCATAGTAAACCTTAATAATCGATGTCAACCAGCGTTTGTAGTCTAAACAGCAGGTAGGTGACAGATGACAGTCTGGACGCTATTGCATCAACATATGTGTTCCCCAATTAAGGTTCTCCGTAATGTATAGGCCCCAAGTATTTAGTTTTTCCTACAGTCACTATAAAGCATATAAATAATTAGTCTTTCAAACACTATACAACACGTTTTTAGGTTCAGCTGGCAACACAAATAGGTGTCATAGAGAAAAGTAGTACGGTTATAGTAGTACGTTTTCTGTGGTAGTACCCGGTCCGTATCACTCCGCTATTTTTCCTCGGCAAGAAATGTGCTCCGCGACTTGAGAATATAGTTCCGTATGTTTTGTAATTTGAAGCGGTTTCCACGCTTTAAAAAAATGCTTTAAAGGTATTTTTTTCTTTATTAAGATCGTAGGAATGTTATAAAAACGTTTAAAAGAAAAGTCCAGAAAGTTCAGAAATACCGAAACTATAAACACGAAATGACAGGTTAAAACGTAGTTACAGTATAATAGTCAATCAGCTGCTCTATTATCTTTAAGTGTTGCCAACCTATTTCCAAGCGTACACGGATTACGTGCATAATAGAACCACGCTGTTTTGTGTTGTTTCGTTGGAATCCTGATGTGCGCCAAAGTATAAACCGTACGACAAAGTATAAACCATACGACAATAGTTATTTGTGCAACTAGTGAGAAAAGTGAGCAATTGACTCACTCGAGAGAAATCCTTACTCACGAGCCAATGGTTTCTCGAGTGAGGCAATTGTACTTTGAACTCGAGTTGCACATTATACTTTTCCTACAGTTACCATAAAACAAATAAATTTGTGAAGAAACATAACCTATTTTTACACAGAAGTGAACTTTTAATATAACATTTAATGTGAAGTGACAAATACAACAGTACAACAGCTGACCAGCTGATTTACAGCCAGTGCTGCCAACGGATTTCGCGCGCATACGACGTTGCCTGCATGTTACGCGCTCACTATTTCGTGCCTTCACGTTGCAAATCTGGAGTGAGACAAAGTAATTAGAGTGAGACAATGTTAACATTGTCTCACTGATGAGCGAATTGGCCACTTTGCTTTCTCAAATCAGTGAGAGAACATGTACATTGTTAGGTAACTGTAGGAAAAGTATAAACCGTACGACAAAGTATAAACCGTACGACAAAGTATAAACCGTACGATAAAGTATAAATATGCAGCAATTAGCAGCTTTCTGTACTATAAACAGTACAAGGAAGAAAACTTTGTCAGGTGACTGTAGAAAAAAACTGTGATACCCAATGAGATCTGTCAAAATAGGATTGTTTACAGTTATGTGTATGTTTTTAATGTCATGAATAATTATTTGTGATTTTTTGTGAATTCGTAATATTTTCTTTTTCTTTATTGTTTTGGTGAAGTGATAAAACATTTTGGCTATGGTAGATATGTAATACCATTAGTATACCGTCAATTTAAAGAGGCAAATTTGATCAAAATTTGTCCTCCCCCATTGCAAACGCAAAGCTTGAGTATAACTGCAATAAGTATTTTAAACTTATTTGACAACCCCGTACGAAGGACAGGTACTCTGCTAGTATGCTCATAAATAAGCAAACTACAACAGAGTTTACTTATTCTCCATAAGAAGAAATTTTAAATTTAATTTTTTTTTTTTATTTTCTCCGCAACCATTAGGCGCATAATAACGCTTCAGTATACTAAATTATTTGTTTTTTAAGCTCTAAAAAATATTTTCAAAAGAAATTGCAAAATGTTATTATGTATTTAGGGTCAAAAATGGAAAAAAACTCATTTTTACCACATAAAACACCCCATAAACCCCCGTTCCCATAGTCTGATCGTGCTGGTTTGTGAACTTCAAATAAATGTAGGTTTAAAAGTTTATACCAAATTTAATCAAAATCGGATAATTTTTGCTCGAGTTATCGTGCTATCCATACTTGGGAATAACGAATAGAATTTCTAACGAATAGCAATATTCGTTAGTTTTTTCGGCTAACTTGTATTTTATTCGTGAGTTTTTTAAAAGTGCTTAATATAACTTCTACTCAGTTAGATTTATAGCTAACGGATAGATAATATATTCTCAATAATATATAGGCCTACTCTACAGGTGGAAGTATCTCGTATATGGGTCATTTTATTTGATATGATCAGTGAGGGTTGCGTGAGGCCGTGAGGGGTCAGCGCCCTTATGTCTAATTGACAGCAATAGCTCAATGACAAATGAAATCTGGGTCCACAGAATGGATCTCGCTTAGTTGGCACCTTCACCTAGCAATTAATTTAGTTAATTATCATAAATGACTACCGAGCAACGTAGTATAAGACTCACAAGTACAAATAAGTTATTACAAACTAATTTCACCCAAAATTTAATTGGTTTTATTTAATTTTATTTTATTTGATCCAACTGAAAAATGCTTCTCGGTAATTTTACTCATATATCATTTTCAGGCATAGCTTTTGTTGATGACGCCTTCTATCACGAACAGAAACGTTTTGTTCTTCGCCATCTGAAATTATTTGGATTTGGTGGAAGCTCAATGGAGCAACACATCAATGAAGATACAAGTCAACTCATAGAATGGCTTCAGTACCAAGTAAATACATTTTTAATACATAGGTACATATTCTTCACACTTGTGCAGGGATGATTTTCAAAGTTGTATTGTATTAGAATTCAATTACAGTTTTTTTTTTTTTTTTTTTTTTTTTTTTATTATTGGTAGTTTAACAAAGTTTCAATAGTTGCAAAACAAGTAATTTACTATTTATATAATAATGTTAAAGTATAATAGCAGTTAGTCATAATACTTAATATTTATTTTCTTAGTGGAGAATATCGAAAATATGTCTTGAAAGGGTCAATAACAACATAGTCCTATAGAGTTATAGCCATGAAACAACTAACAGGGACTGTTCAACATTAGAGTTTTTTGGAGTAAAAAGGCACAGTGTAAGGAGAAGCATTAGGGAAGATTGGGAGAAGGGATGTAACACAACTACCTTAAAGAGATCCAGGCACGTTAAGGGTGCGCTCTATCTCAGCTCGGGCTTCAGTAGCTATATGCTGCACCATTGAACAGCAGCAGCGCTGTGAGAAGTGCTTGCAGACGTGTAAGTCCTCTCAAATTACTCAGTTAGCTTTTAAAATAGTTTTTATCTGAAGAAGGTTCCTTACTCCTTAGATTCAAATTTATGACTCTATCGTTTTAATTTTCTTCAAAAAATTCATTTGTATGTGTAAAATGCCTCAGAAAAAGCTTTTTTAGAAGTATTTACCAGTCACTTCCCACTTAAAATTCTACTATTACAAAAAATTAAAACGATACAAGCCTACATAAATAAGAAATTAACATAATTCAATCGGTTAACTAAGCTAACAATGACAGAGATCCTAAGCTCTTGCATTAGGTGTACAGGTAGAGCGCACCCTTAACAGCACACAAAGCTTTCACAATAATATTAAATTATAATAAAGTTACCTTTTTATTTGGTTGTTGCCTTTTGTTCATTATTTTGTTACACTTCTTGTCACTAATGCACATTTTACCACAGTAGTGACATAATGTTTTATTAGACACTCTGAATATGCCAAATGTGCATTAGTGACAGGGAGGATAACAAAATCAAGAAAAAAGGCAACAACCAAATTAAAAAGTAACTTTTCTTAAAACTAAAAAAAAATTAAATTAATATTTTGCCAGTACAAGAGAATTTCTTCAAACGATTTTCAAATTAATGATTATACTCTTTTATCAGCCAAAAATCAGCTCTAGTTGTGTACCCATCACTAGAATTTCCATTCTTTTCATGTTCTAGGATAGTACTATAGTTTTTAGTAATGACCAATACAACTTTAATCAACAGAAGTTTTGTGAAAACAGTTATTTTACCTCTTGATAGTTTTCTTTGTAAATAATAATTATTATTTACACCATACCATGTGGAAATATTTAATTGATCCAACACTTATTCCAGGAAGGTCCTGTAGATATCCAGGAGATATTTGACGTATCTGTGGTAAACAGCCTATGGGCGATGCTAGCTGGACGAAGGTTTCTGTTGGGAGATAAACGACTGAAGCAACTCTTGTCCTTGCTAAGGGAAAGTTTCCGATTGTTGGACATGTCTGGAGGACTTCTCAACCAAATGCCTGCCTTGCGGTTCTTAGCTCCTAATCTGTCTGGATATAACAAGATTGTTCATGTCATTGACAGTATAAATTCACTTCTTCAAGTAAGATACTGTAATAAATAATTTAAAGTAATCCTAGTTAAGAGCTCAGGTAAGAAACAGTAAATTAATTAGCAGTTGGGGGTTCTGCCTTTCTGTTGACTATGCTCAAATACAAAGTTAATAACGGGATGGTTAGAGCACTTGTCTGACAACCAAGAAAGATCACCAGTTCAGTCCTGAGAAAAGTTTTTATACAAAAATTGTCTTGTCTTAGGCGGTCGACACACGGGAAGACTGAAACCCAACTAAAGTTGAACCAACTGTTTTGTGACGCGATTACAGTTGCAGTTGCATTGGTTAAATCCGCACACGGGCGCGACTATAATTGAGTTGAGACAGTGAATGAGTTTTAATTTTGTTATAACGATACTGTGTACTGTGTATGGTGTTTGAAATGAGTAATAGTGATGAAGAAGCCCTGGTGTTTTATAAACAATCAAGAAAGCGTAGAGTAGAAGGTGTTGGGTACATCCTTATGTTGAAACAAATATTTAATTTAGGCTCTTTGTAGCTGCTGCTGCATTACAAGAAACAGACGCAAAATTTCAGTCTATGTACACAGGATGTCAAAAAGTGCTTACGAAGAGTTATCACAGTTGGTATATCTGATCCTTGAAAAGCGCAATACAAATATGCGAAAAGTTGTTCAAACCAGGCGACTGAAATCACCTAGCAACCGGCAGGTCCGGTTGCTTAACGACTGATCGCCGACTGGTCCTCAACTGGTCGCATCGCAGTCGCACCGTGTGCACTGTCCCACCTTACTACATTGGTCGGGACGAAGGCGACTAGTTTGTCCAACTGGTTGCCGATTTCAGTTGGAAAACAGTCTTCCCATGTGTCGACAGCCTAAAGAAACAGATCTTAATCAGTAACAAAATTTACACAGATCATTTCATTCCATTAAGATTATTCAGCTTATGCATATGGCTAACACATAATAATAAAGTGATACATACTATTATGCTCTGCACCATTCCTAAATACTCTCCTTCATAGTCGCAGTCTTTCCCTTACATGATACATTTCAACACAGCATTAACATTCTAACCTAAAAACAGAACACTAAAATCAAAAAACAAACCCTATATGGGAAATTCGCTAACAAACCAAACTTGTTTAATACACAATGTTTACTACAGCTGGTATATTTAAAACCACTTAAACACTGTAGCAGTACTACCATTAGATAATGGCTGGATCTTTGATGGCCTGTGGGGCAGAACAGCGGTAATTTTTGACACTTCTAACATTTTTCCCAGCGTCCTTGAACCTTAAGCTTTAAAATGAATCCTCGACAGCCATGCTACCTTTTTCCTAGCTTGAGATATTTCGTGGGGACCGATTCACTTACGGAATTAAATATATAGATTTCTGCTGGAATCATTGTATTTCATTGTACAATAAATTACAACTAATCGTACAATTTTATCAAATACTTTTTTTATATTTCCGACCTTACTATTCGTCATTAGGAAGTGGAGAATTCTGATATGAGTAATAGTTGGCACTTATAGTTTTAGTATAGTATAGTTATAGTTTTTATAGTTATGGTATACTTATAGTTTTTTTTTTTTACACAGGAAATTATTGATGAGCACAAGGATACCTTGAAACCAGGAGTGATCAGAGATCTTGTGGATGCTTTCCTTCATGAAGTCAACAAGCAAAAGAAAAAACCTGAGTCATCGTTTACAGGTAAGCTAGTGGCACACCTCTAAATAATTGTTTAAATAAAACGATAAAATAATGTAAGCAACAATGTCTTACTATGGCCAGTAAAAGTTAAACAGTATGCATTTGATCATATATCCTTAACTAATATAAGGCTTCGGCTTTGGGATGTGGCAATGTCACACTGGCCCGGCTATTGCCCTGGATTTAATCTCAAATTTTGTGCATAAAGCATTTTCCCTCCTGCTAAACTCACAAAACTACTCACAAAAAACTCTTCTCTGTTGAACACAGAGGTGGGATTGTTTGTCACATATTTCATCAAGTCTCAAAGGATTACTAGAATTCAGGTCTTTTATGACCTCAGACCATATGGGTATCAAGGTCGAGCTTCTTTTGGCACTGAGAATATTCTCGACGAACTGTGACACACATAGGTCATCAATTTGTCCTCATCCTCAGTCAATTAAAATAATGTGTAGGTCTATTAAAGTCATTGTGTTAACTTGACTTGGTTTCTTCTAAACTCAGAGTGAAATATAAATGACTAGTTATGTTTTTGAAGTAAGAAAGAATCACATACAAATGGAGTGATAGATACGGTAGTTGGTTAGTTTGACACTTCTTACTCTCTGAGCTATGTTTATCTGAAGCTGATTAACAAAACAATTTCAAAGCAATACACTCACTCACTAATTTGTATTAATTGTTTTTCAAATATTTTTTTAGAGAAGCAGTTAATGATGCTGCTTATGGACATGTTCATGGCTGGTTCTGAAACTACAAGCAACACTTTGGCTTTTGCAATTTTCTTTCTCCTGAAAAACCCACGAGTTCAGGAAATTGCCCACCGAGAATTAAAATCTGTCATAGAACCAGGAAAATTGCCTTCACTCAAGGACCGCTCCAGGTAGTACAAAATGTCTTTAATGTTTCTAATGTAGGTAACTGGTAATTGATACTCCTTTACAAAGAATTAGAGACTCTAACAAGCTATGGTTGACTAGCTGTAAAAATAAATTGTTGGTATGGTTATAAATTCATAATATAGGAGTAGGTGATGATCATAAGGATAATAAATATGCCATTTTTTGCTAAAATAGGGGCGGCACCCCTGCTTGCTGGCCTTGTAGCATAATAACAGTCACGGTTGTAGGATGCTTTCAAGAGGGGGAGCTACCACAGAGTGTTGAATACTCTCCTAAGAAAGGAGGGGGTCCAGTGGTATGGTATTTTTAATGTCAAGTACTGTGTTCACAAACCTCCCATTTCACATGCCTCATTGTGTTACAAGTAGGTTGATATTTAAAAATCAAACTAAGACGATTGCAGGACATAATTTATGTTAATATTTGTTTTCCATGGTCCAATGGGAAATGGGCTTTAGCCCCTTAGCCCCCTCCCCCTTGGAACCGCTACTGCTATTTATTACTATTACTATAGTTATTTCTACCGGTTTTTGGGTATTTTTAATTAATGTTACCGTACTGTTAACTACAGTTACCAAATATGAAATATAATTATTGTAGATGTAAAGAGAAATGTAAAGTAGGATCTTGATGAAGCCGAGCTGAGAATGATTTATTTTAATACAAATACAGTAACTCTGTTCACTGTAGAGACAGATGAAATTTGATAACCACAAAAAAGAGTACTTTATGATGATAACATACATTTTACCTTTTTAGCCTCACATACATTGAAGCAATAGTTATGGAGACTCAGAGATTAGGAAATGTTGCCCCAATAACACCTCCACACAGAGCAAAAAGAAGAACTTTGCTAAATGGGTACTGCATTCCTGAGGTAAGAAACATTTTTATAATTTTTAATTTTTGTTACATTATTTCCGACAACAACATTTTTGTTAGTTATGATTTTTGCTAGCATAAACCATTAAAGTAGTGGAATTTTCAATTACAACATTAGTTTTTTAAATCACGCTACAAAAAGTACAATTTATTGCCAAAGTAAGTTTTACCACAGCTAGATGTGAATTACGAGTCCTCAGAGCCTAGACGTTCTAACTCAAAACAATTTTAAAATACAAAGAAAATTTAAAATTTCACAGTATACTAGATATTTAAATTACAATCACTTTGGTATTTGAAAAAATATTTTGAGACGGTAAATAACTTTTTAGCGGCTGTTTAAAAATAACAAAATTAACTTTGCTCTTATGGCGGGCAAATCCAAGATGGTCGTTTCTTCCATGAACTCCCTTGGAAATTAATTCAAAACAACAAATACAATTTTTAATCTCGTATAGTATTTAAATTATAATCACTTTGGTGTTTGAAAAACTATTTTTGGATGATAATTAACTCTTCAGCAGCTGTTTGAAACTATCTAAGATGGCCGCTAGCCTCTAAGGACTCTTAAGTGTCTAGAGTAAACGCTCTGGATTGATTAGTGTGCTAGATCGGTCCAATCCAAAGCTAGGCCAAAACGACTGTTTAGTATAACAAAAAATCCTTAAAGTGGTTTAAAATACCTGTCGGTAATCCAATTGGTTGCTGAGGCACCTAGTTTCCGCCCACAATGTAGCCATCATCAGACATTAACCATAGAATATCTTTGAAATCCGGAGGCTAACAATTTTGAAAAAAAAACGATACCTACCTTTGATTTTGCAGATGTGAAACTGCCCTTTGCTTAAGACCGACCTTGAACAATTATTGGCAAAAAAACTTGTTTAGTTCTGTCATAACTTCCTCTAATAAATATTAAGTTAATCTTGGTTGGCGTTTTTGGTTTTAGATGCTTAGAGGAAATTACAAAATGTAATTTTAAAATATCAATTTATTACAAAAAGTAATTGTTTTTCTCATTACAATAGGACACAACTATACTTGTGAACTTGTTTAGTGTTCACATGGACCCAACTTACTGGAATGATCCAGAGGTATTTAAACCAGAAAGATTCATTGATAAAAGCGGCAAAATAATTCAACATGACTACTTTATTCCTTTTGGTCTAGGTAAGTACGATAGATCTCCTAAATAGTATATTTAACACAAACGTCTTATTTTCAAGTAGTGAAAAAAAAAACATTAATGTTTGTAAACCTGCACTTTTGTGAAGGTTATCTCTTATTAAATTTCTAGAACAGCTAATATATTCAAATGATATACTGAAGTAGAAATTTTTTGTCAATTAAAGAAAAAACGTAAACAAAATTTAATGCAATTTAGGGCAAAATAGTTAAAAGCAAAACATGAGTAATCTAATGAATTTATTCCTGAGATCACTTAATAAAGAAAGATATATCAATTATTGACACCACATAATGAGTGTACTTACACAGCTTGTCACTAAAATTCTTAAAATAAATTGTAACAAATTATAAATTTTTACTTAAAACAAACTGTTGGGAATATGCTGCTGGGTATTAAAAAATGTTCTACAAATATTAAATATCTGGCATTGTGTGTTTTAAATTCCAATCTAAAAAACATATTATGGTTATACTTTTTAGAGAGGGCGTTCTCCAATACAGAGAAATTTTCTCTTAGCTGAAAGACCTTATGCTTCTTTAACATGTAATGATTCTTTTTGTGAAGAAGGATTATTTTTTCTCTTTTGTGGGGATCCGCTTTTTTGATATTTTTCTGGATAGACATTGGTAATTGGCTGCGTATTACAGTTTTTAGCTTTGTGATAATGTACTGTGATCTGGAGCACTCCGTAAAGCTGAAGCAGTTATATTCCTATTCTTTAGCTGTATCCCAATTTCAAATTCTTTTAAATTTGACTGTGTGTATTCAGTACTTGCAAACTAATTGAGTAGGGAACTAAAAGCAACATAACTATGAACAGTATATGCTATTCATATGTGCATATGGACTCAAATATGGAAACTATCTCAAATCTACTATTGTTTTTCAGGTCGCAGACGATGTTTGGGTGAAACTTTGTCCAAACCGAGTCTTTTCTTGTTCTTGGCGTCTTTGTTACATTGTTTCAAACTGACCATACCGCTTGGAGAGAAATTGCCGACTGCACCAGCTGTTGATGGAGCTACCCTATCTCCTCCGCAGTTCAAATGTCAACTAGTGCCTCGTATAGGAGAAGATTAAAGTGCTGAACAAAATACTTTGTTAGAAGTTCATTGTTGGTGATGGTGATTTTAGGTTGTTTTAAGAATTGCTTTGAATATTTTTCATCATTGTTTCATAGTAAAATATGTTTCTTGATATTTTCAAATCTGAAGCCTCGACCTATAATCTTTTGTTAAAAATGAAAGTTAAACCTTATAAGGTAAAATATATATAAAAAAAAAACAGTGCTGGGAAAGACAAAATACTTTTTCTGAAAAAAAAATCAAATGTTTCAAGGGGTTGAATGAATAGAACACCATTGGGTATTTAAAACTTTATTCTATACTACATGTTTTAACAAGTTTTGTATGTGTTAAAGGTTAACATCGGTGGAACTTAATGATGTTTAAAAACCGTTTGTATTAAATGTTTTATAGTAGTAGTAATACAAAAGTGTTGAACGATACTGTATAAATATTGTTCCTAAAAATACTGTTAGATCGATTGAGCCTAATTCATCCTTCCTCTGAATATTTAAGTCGCTTTACAGATTCTTTCCTTTACCCTAAAGCTGGGTTTTCCTAGGCGCGGAAGCGGAGAGCGGAAAAAAAATTAACATGGTGTTCCGCTCCGCTTCTAGGAAAACAGTAACATTAAATTACCTAAGACGAATGGAGTCCGCTCTCTACGTTCCTCTCTCCGCTCTCCACTTCCGCGCCTAGGAAAACCCGGCTTTAGGTTATTCTTCTTTAAAACAATTGTTTTGTAAGTTTTTATAAATTCCGCCTACTTAACTGCTCTACAATTTTTCAGAAAGGGGTTCGCAACAAAAATACAGGTTATTCTATTAGTTGGTTTTAACCGTCAACCAGCCAATTTATTGATAGTCTTAATTTTGCTATAAACTTTATAATAGCCTAAATAGCCTTCACTTAATTCTTGTTTTTGATATGTTAATATTTAATTGAAACTGAACCCAATTAAATTCTCCATCTGTGCTAAAAAATCATATATGATCTTTGTCAGTAACAAAGTTGCTCAAGGCATTTTTACTAAACTACTTTTGGGCATTGAAGAAACCGGATTGAATCTTTTAAGTCCACTCCTCCATCAACAAAATATTTTAAACTGCAAACACAAAAATATTTTTTGTTTAACTTGATAATTACCTTTACCAAACGATATAGATCTTATTTCTCTCTAGGTGTTACATGAACACTGTAAGGTTTGGGTGACAGAGTTATTCCAGGTATATAGTCAAATTTTAAAGAATCCATTCCATTTTCCACTCCTAAGTGAAAATTACGCATTATTCCGGTAAAAAATAGAAATATGAAATTTTTTGCTAAGGCTTCACCAAGACATCTTCTTTTACCTGAAAAAATCATTGTTATAAACAATAAAATCGCTTAAAAAATATCTTAAATTTATACTGTGTTCACTCCAATTTACTTCAAGAGAATACATTAAAACAATAAAATGTTATTAATATATTAAAAAACTTTTGCAAAACTTATGACAGCTAGCCTGACCATACTACTGGACCAAATTACACACGAATTGTACGAAAAGAAAGGTTATCGGTCCTATATGTGCAGGTTTTATTTGAACTCTTTAGAATAGAAGCAAAAGGAAACATTTTACTGTTGTGTGTTCTTCTGGTGTGAAATGAATTATTTGAACTCACAGATGCATTCATATAAGTGGCTTTGAAGGTGAAAGGTAACAGAATATGTCATGTTGGTCCTATAGGATCCTACTGCTACTGTAGAAACATTAAAGTTGTTTCCTCTCACTTTTTCTATGCAATTGTAAAGTATATGAAAAAATAAGTTAAAAGTAAGAATAGGCCTCTGAAACTGAATGAATCTATTTTACTATTTTATCACCAATAATCTAGTGTATGTACATAAAAGTAAAATTAGTTGTTTATTGGTTATAAAGTGTAACATTTAAATATCCATGATGATATCCATTATTTCTCCTTTACATTGAAATGTGCACCTGCTTAGTTAATTTTTAGAAAACCAAATACAAAAGTTGAAAAGACTCACCTATTCCAAATTGATACAGTTCGTCCATTAATTTTCTGTTCTCCTCCTTCAAGAAGCGATCAGGATTGAACTCCATCGGCTCTTCCCAGGTAATTTCATCATGGTGAATAGACTGTAAACTGAGCAACACTATGGTATCCTGTAACAATAATAAATACAAACATTAACGTTAACGTAGGCCCTTTACACAGTTTTAATAACTAGGATTGCCATACATCCTAATCAACAGGATTATTGCCCAGTGTGATTAGTAACTTTGCTGCTGACATCCCAGGATTCTGAAAATGGTTCTTGGGACAGTAGCTATAAAAAATCTTGCAAAATCATTAAACTTGCTCAAATGATTCCCTATAAAAATTTAAATTAAAACTATTTATGGTCCCCCATTATGGTTTGAATAACAGTACCACTAAGTGAGTGAAAATTTAAAAACGTACGTTTTCATGTCCCTGGCCTTTTACTTCGTAGATACTGGATTTTTAGTTTATTATTATGTGTTTTAATATTTTTTGGGACGGGGGCAACATGTTACACACATTTATTTGGTTTTAAATACGTTCTAGGTATTTTTTTCGTATTTTTAAAGTCCCGAATCTCACGACCATGACGTGTCCCTAGGGCACATTTTCCAACTTTCACGCTATTTTTAGACTAATTATTCATGCCGAAATATATAAAGCCATATTTTTATGTCATCAATGGTTATTAAACTTACAAAAAAGGAGCATATTATAATTTTCTTGTCATTGCAAACTGACTACCATGACAAAATAAGTCTGTCCCTCAATTTGGCGTCACGACCATTTGGGAAAAATTTTCAACTTTGGAGCACGACAGTGGCAAGCCTGGCGTCGATGGAGTCAGTTGGTTTTAGAGACTAGTTCGGGGTGTACGTCAGGATTGTAGTGCCGGTCGTTTCGAGTTGAAAGGAGGAATTACAAGATTAATAAAGGGAAAATTGTGTTTTTTGTAATTTTGGTGTGTCCATGACCGTACGTAGTCATTCGATGAAGTAGACATCGTGTTAATTTTTGTTTATAAGATATTTCAATTGCTAGATTAACCTAGAAGTTCACTTTGTATCCTCGAACATGAGGTGCAGGGCTACCACCAGAACAGAGCCAAATAACACGTAATTTCACGACCAAAGTTTCACGACCATCGCGGGTTTTTTCACGACCAATCCAGCCTTATGGATTATAGTGTGTTTGGTCGTGACAATAACCTTAATATAATTGTAATTTAAACAGTTTAGTTAATTTGAAACACTTATTTTTATTATAACTAACAGTATAATTGAAGGATTGTTTAGAAAGATTTAGATTATTTCAGAAAATTCACGACCGTACCGCTAGTCCCTGACCATCACGTTTATGATTTCTATCATAAAAATTTTAAAAATTAAAATATCGTCATATTTTAATGTTTTATACACAAAAGAAGCACACCTCTATACAAACATAACGATTTTTCGGGTCTCAGGTAAGTTTTTTCGGAGTTATACAAACTTAAAAAGATTTTATTGGCTTTTTTTCAATGTTTTGAGTTTTTTTATTTTTTTCTAGAAAGACCAAATATACCAAAAGCTCAGTGACCTTTTTATTGTATAATGGTCATAAAAGTAAATTAGTTTATAGCAAAACATAGTTATAAAAATAATATTAACTATTTTTAATATTCATTTAAACGTCTGTTATGGTCGTGACAGGATTTTGTGTTTTTCCACTAAAGATGCTCTTTTTTTTTAAAAATACCAAAGATATTGCGTTACCATGGACATTTTATGAAACTTCAAATGTTAATGAAATAAAAATAATAATACAAGTTTTGAAAAAAGGGGGAAAAAATTTGCAAAGTGCTTTTCCTGAAAACGTACGTTTTTAAATTTTCACTCAAGTACAAGACATGCAAGCATCACTGTTGGAAAACTAAAATTATGAAGCAGTAAAAAAGTTGAGAAATAATGAGTATTTATAAATCTATTTCATTTTCTGTTCAAAATTAATAATATTACAAATATTTTGCAACCCCTGCATTTTAGGGGTAGTGTATATTGAGGTTTAAAATTACCTTTGGTATATGGTATTTGCCAAGCACTGTGTCCTTTAGAACTCTACGAGGACCAGCCACAGGCACCACATGGAGAAACCTCTGTGATTCTGCCAGCACTGCTTCTACATACGGTAATCTACAACACAACAGTATATACAAACAGGTATGGGTTAATATTTTATCAACATATACTATAAATTCAGAAAATACACACCGACAAATTTAGAGAGCAATCAGTTTTTGCAGTGAGTTGCGAACAAAAGTTGTTAGTTAGTTTCTCTGCGATGGTTTTTCTTTACTTCATTCAGTTTTTCATAATGACCCTTGATTCAGCAACCAGGATGAGTTTAGGGTAAATAGTGCCCTGGGTTGCAAAAAGCTTTGGCTCCCCCGTCACTATATGATCTTAGGGCCTTCCCCTGAAAACTTTTTGAAATTAAAGTTGTTGAAAACAAATTTTATTAACACTATTTGAAGGTTAACACTGGCTGAAATTTGTGTATTTTACATTTTTTCAACTTATCAAAATATAATAAAAGAGAAACATTTTGTAAAAATCAACACACTTAAACTTAAGTGTTACCAAACAGAAAATCCTCATCAAAACAGACAACCTTCAAAATCTACACTAAAAGGTTAACCATAGTAATGAAATGAAATGAAATTATGGATTAATTGGATGAAATTAAATAATATTTTAGTAGCAACCAAAGTCAATCTTGATGATACCTTGCTCTGTCTTCGAGTGATGGAATTGTTCTTTCTCCCAATGAACTTTTAATTTCAGAATAGACTCGCTCTTGTACATCTTGATTTTGGATCATGTGAAGGAAAGCAAAGGCTAAAGTGTTACTTGTTGTTTGGGAACCAGCAATGAAGAAATCAAGACAAACCATGATCAATTGATCCTCTGAAAAATAAAAAAACACATTGACATCATTAGTGTACAATGTATATACAAAAAACTCTTAACTGACAACCAACATGGCTTTCGGAAAAATAAATCTACATCCTCAGCTATAACAGCACTAATTGAGTACGTCCTAGACCAGATAGAAAATGAACAATACATTTCCGCCATCTTCCTTGATTACAGTAAGGCTTTTGACTGCCTGGGCTACGACCTGAAATGCAAGAAACTCGAAAGACTCGGTATAAGAAACTCTGCACTGGGTTCAAAAGCTACAACCACAAGACTGTTCTGTTAGCTGAGGCTGCACATATTTCACAAATATGTGTGAAATCCAAATACTAGGTTACTCCGGAACGCTCAAGGAATGTCAGTGTAAGATCTCAACTCTTTGGCACGGTGGTTCC